TCCACTGATATGATGAATTTATCAATTAATTAAATAGATATTGATTTTTCTAGTATGTGCCAGACTCAGTGGCCTCTGCTTTAAAAGAAAAATTTGGAAAACTATGGTGTCTGGCAGCTGTACCAAGCATTAATATGGTACTACAAATTTGCTCATTTGTTTCTCAAACCTCACAATATGAGCTACGCTATATATATATATACTTTATATGAGTATGTATAAAGTACACATGTACATATTATCCCAACACATAATATAGTAGTTCAAATCTGATGTTTGTTAAACTGGGTAAATAAATGTCCCTTAATTACTTAGAAGCTGTAACGTCATATGTATTATTAAATTATCTTTTCTTCCACTTTCAGATCGATAAGATCTTGATTAAAAACACCTCACTGGAAAGGGTGAAAAGTTGAGATTTCATTTCTGGCTTTTATTTAAAAATCGCATACTAAGCAGACCTAAAGCACAGACATTAATTTTGTACAATTGAAGACTTGGAATTCTAAGATCAAGATAGCAGTTGATATGGTTCTCAATTCCTGCCATCACATGGTTCCCTGAGCATTACTGGTGCAGCCCTGGAGGCTTGTGAATGATCCGAGTAACCTCTGGCACTCAGGATTTAAGTGGCAGATGCCTGGGCTCTCATACAAAACTGCTACCTCAGGTGGCCAAGAATTATTCGCATGCAGCTGCCTTCTTCATGCACAATGATAAGGTAGAGAGAGAGATAGAAAGAGAGAGAAAAAGAGATCACTTTCTCATGACTTTTCTTTAAAAAGCACTAATGTCATTAGTGTCTTGCGGGCTCCAACTTACTGACCCAATTACTTTCCAAAGTTCAACCCCAGAATATCATCAGGTGAAATATTAGGTTTCAGATATGAACTGCAGGAGGTGAGTGGCAAAACAATTAGTTTAGAGTAAGATCTTAAACGAAAGTGCCTAATACAAAATAACGCTGTGAATGACCAAAATCTAGTTCTTCCTGTCTTCAATAAATTAAAGTCTTGCAATAATTTTTCTATAGTAAGCAATTGAATTTGACAATTTAAATATGCATGACTATATACGGTTCAATTTCATAACTGATGCAGATTAGGGTGTGTGTGTATGTGTGTGTGTGTGTGTGTGTGTGTGTAAGAGGATTGGGTCACATTTGCTCTGCCAAGAACTTCTCCTAGCTCAGTGCTAAGGATCACTCCTGGTGATGTCAGGAGTCAAACTAGTACTGATTACATGGAGGGCAAGCACCATAATTCCTATACTCTCTTTCCAGTCTCTCCTAATTTGTTCTTTTTTGTTTTTTTTACGATTATTAATTAATTAATATTTAAATTTTTATTAGTGAAACACCATGAGGTACAGTTGTAGACTTACAAATTTTTGTGCTTGGGTTTCAGTTATACAATGATCGAGTACCCATACCTCCACCAGTGCCCATTCTCCATCACCAATGATACCAGTATCCCTCTCAATCCCCGCCCTCCTCCATCCTATCCTGCCTCTATGGCAGGTCATTCCCTTTTGTTTTCTCTCTCCTTTTGGATGTTGTGGTTTGTAAAAGAGGCATTGAGTCACAATCATGTTCAGTCTATAGTCTACTTTCAGCAGCCCAAATTGTTCTTTAACAACACGATGTATGGTAGGTTGAAGACTCGGTTGCTAAATATGTCCATAGATGCCCCAGTTTAACTTGTCTCTCAAATATATATAGCAAGACTTATTTTTATAAATCACTATATATTTCTGATATAGTTGAAAGTGTTTTACAGAATTTGACTAAAAAAAAACTTTTGAGACACACTCTAGAACTCCTATTTTTAATGTATAATGGAGAGTAGGTGCTTTTAAGCATCTCTGAAGTCTAGCTGTTTCAGCCAAGTTATATACTGTAAAATTATCATCATAAATTTAGATCAGAATTTGTCAAAAAGATGATCTCAGGAAAAATTGTCATTAATGTTAGCATAGGGAAGAGCTTGCCAAGAGAAATAAAATACTTAAGCCTATAGAACAAGCTAATTTTTTCACTGGTGATTGAAAGATTAAAGTCTTACTTTGTCTAATTTACAAACTTTTAAAGAATATATACCATACCTAAAAGTACCTTCAATATTGTCCAGTTACCACTAGGGAACTTTTGCTTCTATTAGGCTGTTCAGTTAGAAATAAATTATAACATGGGTTAAAAAATTCCATTCCATTCAAAATAAAGCCAAACCAATAATGTTTGCACAACAAAGATCCCAAGCTCAGAAAAAAGAAAAGACAGAAAAAATAAATATAATTGGGTTTAAAGCTCTTTAGCACGTATTTACTTTAAACATATTTAAATAATAAAAGTATATATGCTAATTTCTTTATCCTGTAGAATAAAGAATAATTAAATTCATTATTTAATATACAAAGAGAAAAGAGCAAAGAGAAAGTTTTAGCTGTCTTCCTAACAAAATCATAATTAACTAAAAAGCTAATAGACAATAACCGGAATAAATTTAAATTCTTACATTTCTGGCACAGTTAAAATTAATATTACATAAAACATTGTTATGGTTTATCTATTAAGAATTAAAAGTGCAATTTAAAAATATATTATTTTAAATATTCATTTGCTTTTAATTAAGACACTATGATTTGCAAAGTTGTCATAATAGAATTGTTTCAGGAATACAGTCTTGCAACATCAATCCCACAAGCAGTGTCCAAGGTTCCTAGCTATCCCCCAGCCACCTCCATGACAGACTCAGTGATCACTCCCTATAGGTTTCTGAACTATTGGGGTGCTACAGGTCAAATCCTCATCAGCTGTGTGCAAGGCAAGCACACTACTTGTAGTATTATCTCTCAGGCCTGAGATGAAATGCTTTAAATTTGGTTTTAAACATGATCAAGAGAACTGAAGTTCTTGAGACTTTTACATGTGAGTTCAGTCAACTCTAGCAAATTTTATAGTCATAGTCATCTAAAGCTGTTTTTCTCAACTTTTTTTTTTTATCAAAGGCACTCAGTGTTTCCTTCCCCTTTCCTATCAGGTGATTCTGATATGTTGTGCTATATACCCTCGCATGTTATTCCTTCACACATTTACAGTTCATGAGGTGGTATTCTTTATTTTTTACTTATGGCCTTGGAATATCCTGGGTTCCCACATTTCCTCTGGGGATCACATGACCCTAGTTGAGAAACACAGATGTAAACCAACCTCCTGAATGTCCAAGATAACTGACCTGCATGATTTGCTGTTGATGGTTGATGACTCGAAACTGGACCTGAGCCATTGACTGGATTATCTGTGGGTGAAGCCTAATGGAGTCTAGTTGCCAGATGCATTAAAAAGCCAACACCATCAGAGATTGCAAGGAAGAAAAAGGTTTTATTGCAATACAGAGTGTGCTGGGGACAGAAGCAATGCTCTAATCTACCTCCTGAATCCTTTGTTATAATGAATATTTTGTACATGTAGAAGGAGAGGCTTGAAACCTCCATCTGCTTATTTTTGGAAAAATAAGTAGGAAGTGATTTTTGAGACAACACAATTGGCAGTGTTTAGAAAAAACAAGTTTTAGGAGAAAAGGGAGGATGGCATGGTTTTGTACACTTCTAAAAATGTAACCTAAAAGGCTTCTTATTTCTTTTGATTGTTGAAAGACAAAAGTCAAGAGAACAAAAAAATGGGGGAGAGGGAGTATGCCAGAGTGAGTTTTTGTTGTTCCTCTTCTGTAAAACAGAATATATAGATTTGTATTTTTGTCTAAATCAACTTCTGACAAGAAACCTTGTTCCTTCAAAGGCCAAGTTAGATATCTCTCTCTCAATAGGGCCATGTTTTCATGATCAGTTGTAGTACTTACATGTCAGGTGATGATCTCAGAGCTATTGCTCAGGAAATAGCAAGCAGAAACTGCAATGTCTATTTCAGTTTATCCTAGGAAGTAACACAGCATCAACTTCATCACACTCCGTTGATTAAAAGTTACTCAGACAACCATACTGATGAACTGCCCATTTCCTCTCTCTCCTTTTATAATGTGGCTTCCTGGGGCTAGAGCTCTAGTAGGGCTCCTATTTCACATGAAGCCAGCAGAAGTTAAGAGTGATCCCTGAATACAGAGCCAGGAGTAAGCCCTAAGCTCCTCTGGGTGTGGCCCCAAATCAAAGAAAATAAATGAATAGCAAGCAAATAAATAACTATATAAATGATAAAATAAAATGTGTCTTTCAATCCATGTAATCTCTGTTGATATCACACCCTTCATTTTCACGGTCTATCTCACTACCTTTCTCCAAGATATATCCAATCCCACAGTTCAGTTATCAGACTCAGAACCTTTGGGATTGAGTTCAGAGATGTTGTTCAAATCTGTAATCTTCTATTTACATAAGTTGAGAAAGTGGTTTAATCTCTATATAAAAAGCAGAAATAAATAAGAGAGGAACTTACTATCTTACTGGGTTGCCATGAACAAAACAGAAATTTCACATATACTTATCAGAAATGTTAAATATTACTATATATATATATACATATATAGTTGTCTTTCCTAAAGCTCATAGCATATAATTTGCAAACTTTTGTATGCCTTTCCTAGTCTTCTCTTTATAATAATATTAATAGGAGCTGGAGCAATAGCACAGTGGGTAGGGCATTTGCCTTGCACGTGGCCGACCCAGGTTCGATTCCCAGCATCCCATATGGTCCTCCGAGCACTGCCAGGAGTGATTCCTGAGTACAAAGCCAGGAGTAACCCCTGAGCATTGCCGGTTGTGACCCAAAAAGCAAAAAAAAAAAAATAATAATATTAATAATGATTTACCTTCTGATATTTGCTTTAATAATTAAAAGGCATTTATTCCAGCAGAGGTCTCTAATCTGAATATCAATAAAATGTCCTACTTATTTTCTAAACTTCAGTAAGGAAGACAGGTTAAGAAACTTTTAGGCTTTTAGACATCTATTATTGCTTGTAACTTTTTTCTCCCATGTTTCCTTGCAGACATTAAAAAAGAAAAATCTGAGAAGACATCTTCAATTCTGAAAGATAAAGGTAATAAAACTGATTAAGATGGTATTAATTATTTATTAGTAAAAGTGTCAAATTATTTAATAGAACATTAAAGTTACATCCTTTACAAAGGTGGGTGAAAAGTGCATTAGCCCCATTGAAATATTCAAAGACTTGCATTTGCTATTAATCTCTCAAACACTTCTTTCTATTCACTCTAATATAAATACTTCTCTGTTATTCAAAAAGAGAAAAAAAGGAAAGAGCTGTTCCCTAAAGAATGAAATAGAACCCGGTTGGAAGGAATCGAATCCGGTTCAGCCGGTATTAAAATATGTATATAAGACATATGTACATGTATATAAAACACATATATAAGACAGATATAAAAAAGACAGATATACATTGCACAGTTACAAGTAAGATCATGATCACCTCAAAGACATCCCAGTACAATTTGTGGTTAAGTCATGAAGCTCAGCTTCAGCTACCCATGGCAGCTCATGTTGGCAGAGATCTATTTTTCCTATCACTAACGGATGTAATCCCCATACTACTTCTTCAAGCTTGTATAATCTATCTTTGTTTTTAGTGTAGAGCACGTTACAAAACCTTGTAACATTTATTAGGCACATTGGATATTATTTACAGAGAAGTATTCTTAGTCTTTTATTTTTATATCTTAAACACATCTTAAACACACCTACCAAACTTTAAAATGAGACAAGCTTTAAAATGTGGGAAGGAAACTGGGAACACTTATTGAGGAAAATTGACCCTAGTGATGGGATTAGTGTTGAATGGGTTTGTGTGTCTAATATTAAACTGTGAATGACCGCAGTTTGTTAATTCTGTATCACTGTAGTACTATTCTCCTGCTCGAGCGGGCCCAGTAACAGTCTCCCTTGTGAGACTTCTTGTTACTGTGTTTGGCCTATTGAATAAGTCATGGGTAGCTTGCCAGACTTTGCTGTGAGGGCATACTCTTGGTAGCTTGCCAAGTACTCCAAGGGGGGGCGAAGGAATTGAAAGAGGCTCAGGTCAGCCACATGCAAGGCAAACACCCTACCACTGTGCTATAGCTCCAGCAATTTGTTAACTCAGTTGGAAAAAGTTTTTCTCTATTTAATCGTCTAATTCTTACAAAAATATTTGGTCTACTATTTTTTCTCCAGATATCACCTGTAGTCTGGGAGCAGCTGCTCATGTTCCACTTTAACTTTATGTGACAACACAAAATAGTATCAATCTTTTGAGAACTATCACAGGAACTTGCTATTAGGAATTATTTTTTCTTTTTGGATCACATCTGGTGATGCTAGGGTAACTCCTGGCTCTGCACTCAAGAAATAAAAGCAGAAATAAAAACAGGCCAAGCGAAAGTGGAAAATTGCTTCTAAAACTATTGTTTAGGTGATGCTGGTTGTCAATAATGTAATGAACTACATAAGGACTTTATTTTTAACCAATTCTTAAACTAGTTGTAAATGATAGTTGTAAAAACCCGATATGGAAGACATTATATAGATGAGTTAAATTCACACTGGTCATATTATTAAATTGAATTAAGTCCTATTTTAGTAATAATATTGTAGCCAATTGCATAGTGAACACTTTTCCCCAATGTAAAATTCTCTGTTATTTGCAATATGTCCTCACTGTCTCTAGAAATCACTGCATATAAAGTTATGTGAATGTCATCATTTATTGAAAATAATTTAAATATATCTTTTCATATAAATAGTGGCGATGCCTTCAAATGTCTTACAAAAACTGAATTTTAAAACTAATTCTGTTTCTATCATTTTTTATTTTCTGAATGCCATTTATTAGATAAAATCAAAGAAAAAATGGTAAAATGACTAGCAAATTTTTAGGTACTTTAAAATCCGCTCCAGCATTATTCTGTCTAAACAGGCTCTTTGAAGCTTGCTGATAAACTTGCCAGATTTAAAATGCAGCAATGTCATTTATTAAGAAGTCATTTATTGCATTGTAGTCATTATATTTTATAATTTATATGATTAAGCAACTAAGTGTTTACATTTGTCAGTCTCTCATAGACTGTACTTTTTTGCAAGTATTAAGTTTTATATTGAAGTAAGGTTAAAATTTTGAAGCTAGAATTATTACATAAAAATTATTTAGGGCACAGGAAATATTGGGAAATACCTGCCCAAGCACTGTGGGATACCTCCCCATCCACCTCTGCGGGCCTCTCCATTCTAAGTGTTTAGGTGGAGGCCAGGACACTCCCCTTCCCTGCGACCCACGCACCTCTTCTTTCTGCCTCCCTGGACCCCCTACGGACCCCTCTTGGGCAACCAGAGGACAGATTGGGAAACACCTGCCCTAGCTCTGCGGGACTCCCCATTCACCTCTTCTGGTACCTCCATTCCAGGTTCCTGGGTGGGAGTGTCCCTGGAACTGGCTGGGGGCGTGGCCACTACGTAGGGGCGTGGCCTCCCTCCTAGTGGGTGTAGCCTTTTCCAGCAGGCCGCTGCTTATGTGACTGCAGTTATATTTCGCATTCCCAGCATTCTGAACTTTCATCCCACCCTTTATCACCTAATACCGACAAAAAATTGCTGACCATCTCAACTACAATACAACAATATTCCCCTTGCCTACTCCAATTCTAACAAAAGACCAGTACGAAAGAAGCTGTACAAGCCCAATCTTAAAGAGCACCTTCTCCAAATTTTCGCTCAATGTCCATTATAAGCCAAAGAATAATGCCTGACTGAGAGGAAGGTCAGACTCTAGAAAGGGAGAAGGGTGACGACCATAGACTGACCTTATCCAGAATCCTTTCCCATGATAAGAAAACAGTGATAGTGAATACCAACGTTCTACCTCTAGACAACCAAAACAACAGGAAGAAACAGTGAAAATCTCCACTACAAGGAGAATACAAAGAAAACAGTCCCGAATCCTCAACCGGGGTTATCCAGAAATACGCTCTCTCCCATAAAGAATTCTGAGACGAAATGCAGAGGATGTTCAAGGATCTACTCAAAGATCAATGGAGGAGATATCCAGAAAACTAAAGGAAGAAATTAAAGAAGCAATAGAACAGATAGTCGAGAAAATACAAGAAGAATTGAGGGCAGAAACAAAAAAGCTACAAGAAGAAGTGTCACAAATAAAGGATTCAGTAGACAAAATTAAAAACTCAGTAAGTGCACTTAGCAGTAGTATGAATACGGCTGAAGACAGGATCAGTGAACTTGAAGATGAGCAACAGAAATCCCATAGGGAACAACAAGCAATGGGAAAAGACCTCAAAATGGCTCTAAGGAGAATCAGAGACCTAGGGGATGATGCCACGAGGAAAAACATTAACACCATTGGAGTACCAGAAGTACAGGGAGGCAACCCCAGTGAAAAAGCCACAGTCAAAAAAATCATTGCTGAAAAGTTCCCAGAGTTAAGTAATGCAAACATCCAGATCCATGGAGCCAGAAGGTTGCCAGCTAAAAGAGACCCTAATAAAAACACTCCAAGGCATATGATAGTCAGAACAATGGATGCTGTGGACAGAGACACAATACTACAAGCAGCAAGGCCAAAAAAGAAATCAAATACAAAGGAGCACCCCTTAGATTTACAGCAGACCTATCAGAGGAAACCCTCCAGGCCCGAAGGCAATGGTGGGATATAGTGAAAAAACTCAGTGAAATGAACGCCTCACCAGTTTATCCAGCTAAACTCTCACTCAAACTCAATGGAATGATACACCATTTTGTAGATAAAGAACAGCTCAGGAACTTCATAGACTCAAAACCAAATCTAAAAGAAGTATTGAAGGGGCTCCTGTAAGATAAGAAGGAAAACACTTATAAACACAACCAACCCCTACAGAAAGATGGCACAAAACCCCATGACAATAATCTTTCTCAATGTCAGTGGTCTAAATGCACCAATCAAGAGACACAGAGTGGCGAAATGGATCCAGAAACTGAAACCAACGTTCTGCTGTCTACAAGAAACTCATCTGAACAATCAGAGCGAACACAGACTCAAAGTTAAAGAATGGAAAACATTCCTGCAAGCAAACAGCTCCCTCAAAAAAGCTGGCGTGGCCATGCTAGTATACAAAAACATAAATTTCAGGTTGAAAAAGATTAGAAGGGACAGTCAAGGCCATTTTCTATTCATCAAAGGATATGTACAGCAGGAAGAAATCACTCTTAAATATATACGCACCTAATGAGGGACCAGCTAAGTACTTAAAACAACTGCTAATAGATTTTAAGGAGGACATTGCTAGCAACACATTAGTAGTTGGAGACTTCAACATCTCCTTATCACCTCTGGATAGATCCACTAGGACAAAACTCAACAAAGAAACATTGGCTTTGAAGGAAGAAATAGAAGAGAGAGGGAAAATAGACCTATACAGGGATTTACACCCCAAAAAGAAAGAATACACGTTCTTCTCCAGTGCACACGGAACATTATCCAAAATAGACCACATGCTAGGCCACAAAACATACCTCAATAGAATCAAGAAGATAGAAGTAGTATCAACAATCTTTTCAGACCACGATGCACTCAAGATAGAAGCGAATCACGCAAAGACATCGAAAAACAAATCAACCACCTGGAAAACTCAATGTTGAACAACAAATAGGTCAGGAATGAAATCAAAGACGAAATCAAAAGATACCTGGAAACAAACGAGAATGAAGACACAGCTACCAGAACCTATGGGATGCAGCTAAAGCCGTACTAAGAGAAAATTTATGGCGTTGCAAGAATTCCTAAGGAAAGAAGACAGGGACTACATAGATAACCTAACCACACAGCTCAAGATTCTAGAAAAAGAACAACAAAAGGAACCCAAGATTGGCCAAACAATAGAAATAATAAAACTTAGAGCAGAAATTAATGACATGGGGGCTGGAAAAATAGCACAGTGGGTAGAGCATTTGCCTTGCATGTGGTCAACACAGGTTTAATTCCCAGCATCCCATATGTTCCCCTGAGCACTGCCTGGGGTGATTCCTGAGTGCAGAGCCAGGAGTAACCCCTGTGCA